GGGGGGGGGGGGGGGGGGGGGTTCCCAGGACTATCCCCCAGCCTCTTGCAGAATATTCCCCCAGCACCTACTTTATCCTCTTTTGGGTGTTCAGTCCTCTTAAGCTTTTCCAGCATCTTCCATTCCTGCTTCTACCCTAATATTTTAAAGAAGTTTTATCCTGAAACATCCCAGGCCTTCAGCCTCTGCTGCCTCGGGACAGAACTCTGCTTTTAATTCATGTTGTTTCACCAGGGGTTTTATTTGTGCTGTTTTAGACTTGATTTACATGGCTTCCTTTATGTTTTTATTGAACGCTGCCCTGCTGCCGCCCTGAACTGGAAGGTGAGAAATAAATCTTTGGGATAATAATTATGAAAAAGGGGAAGATTTGGCAGCAGGAAAGTAACCATGACCCAGTGGTTTGAGCCAACGTTCATCCAAGGAGCAGGGTGCCCTAAAACACCCGTATCAACAGGGCTTAGGGGGCTTAAAAATAGCCACATCTGTCATCACAAGCTCACTTTTCCATCTGAGCAAAACTGGGGCTAAGGATTAAAGCTTTCTAACCGGCAATCAAAGATCACTGTTCCCCCTCTGCTGCTTTCACACCACTCACCTACACACGCAAATGCTTCCTGGTAGCGAGAAATACCTCCGCGGGTCAGAAACTCACCTGCCGCGTACACTAAGGTGCACATGACCCACAAACGACAGCTGCCCGCTTTGCCAATGCAAATATTTTTTCCTCTGGACTAAAAACATTTGGATACAAAGCTGGGCCACCATGGCTGCTAGACACACCCAGGCACACCGTTTTCGCACTCACTCCAAGCCATGCCGAAGGTAAGAGCAACCGCTGCGGAGAACGAGGCCGCGTCGGAGGACTCGGCGACGCGCTGCCGGCAACCCGCGGGGCTTACCATTTTCAGTTTGTGCTGCTGCAGAATCTCATCCAAGTTTTGTCTTTTCTTGTAGTTGAAGTAGAAATTTTTACACTGCGAGACGCTCTTAGACCCCACCATCCGGGCAATTGCTGACCAGTTGCGTCCATGTTCAAGAAGACCTGTGGATCGTACAGGTAGAACAGCACAAGTCACAAGGGTTAAAACCCGATACGGTGTCAGAACGCTTTGCGTTTTCCTGTCTGGTTTTAAAAAGAAAAGCACGCCTCTAGCCTTGATGGCCAGCTTTCAGGGCTTCCCAAAGGTGGCTGCATGGGGGCTTAACATCTGGAGATAAAAATGGAAGAGGTTTAAAAATGGAAGAGGTTTAAAAATGGTTTCAAAAGACCAAGATGAGTGGGCTCTAATTCTCACTGGCCTTGTTCTCCTTAACAGAAAGCCAGCAAGAGCGACGTAGTCACAGAATGGGGCCGTGCATCCTTTTTACACACACCTCGTTAAAAAAAACAACAACCCAAACCTTAAGTGTAACACGAGACAAATCGCTGGGGGGGAAAAAAGTCACGCTGGCCACCGATGTTGTATTAAAGCTAGCTCTCTGAAACAGGACAAAGTCAAGTTCAACTGTCAACATTCTGGGTTAGAAAGTGACAACCTGCTCCTGCTTCCTACAGACTTGAGGGACGGAGCTCGGTGGGCCTTTCTAGGAAGGGATGAGATGGCAACCGATGAGAGACGCTGGGTGGGAACGGCCGTTCAGTATCTTGAAAGAACCACCTTGGAGCGCAACCTATCAACTGCTAAGAAACATAATACCCGGAACAATGACCATAAAAACTCCGGATGTTCCTGTAGATATCTGGCCAGCTAGCCAACCCCTGTGCCATTTGTGATAGCATTGTATTTATCGATTTGATTCAGGCTCTGCTTTTCTGCTCCAGCCAGCAATCTATCTTCCCACTGACATGCGGAATAGGTTGATTTCAGACCTAGCCTTATTTAGAAGAGTCCCGTTGATTTCCATGGGCTTAAAAATAAAGGCTGGATCCGGTCCATCATTTTGACCATTGTTCTTAGCTGGGACGATGTCGGCAGGGCACCCACCGAGATCTAGCAATCTGGACCGCCCCCCCGAAAGTGTCAAAGCGACTTATGCCATCCGCAGGAACATTAAAAATGCCTCCAACCCCGCTGAAGCCCCAAGATATTCCTTGATAAAAACGAAGCGCTCGCCAGTGAGGAAAACGGCAGAAACCGTCCGAATCTCAGCGGGAGACCGTGCAGATAGGTTTCCCCCTGTAAAACCTAAAACGCAGCCAACCTGACTCGCTCGTGCGGTAATGCCTTTTTAATGAACCAACGCTAACACTGCCAAAGGAGAAACAATTCTCGCTCGAAAGGGGAGAGCCGTAAAAACAGTTAATCTTCTCCAGATTAAAAATAAAATAAAATAAAATAAAATAAAGACGAGGATAAAAATAGAAGTAACGAGGTTGGGAAAACTGCCTGAGAACTTTGCCTTTTAACAGGCCCCGTTTGAGGATCGGATGCAAACCAAATTGCTTCATCTGTTTGTCATCTGACTTGGGAATAGGGAAGGTAATTCTTTGCGACACTGTTTTTCTTGGCACCCGTTAAGGACTAGAAACTTGTTTTTTTTTCTCCAGCCCGCTGGGCCTGCACCAACACCAACGTTCCTATGAAACTTCTGAGAGTCTGCAAACACTCCCTGGAACACGCCTGCAGTTTGAGCCTTCATTTTGAAAGAGAGGAGGCTAGCAGCCTGGAGTGGATGGCCCTGAGGTCTTTTTATCACTCCCGGAAGCACTAATCTTTGGGGAGGTCATGTCACGTCTCCTCTCCCTTTCGCTTGAATGAGGGGTACTCCACGGCCTACTTCACAGGGTTGTTGCAAGGCCATCTGTCTGTGAGCAGACTCGACTGAAAGCAAGCGAGTGGCCGGCTCCATGCCATCAGCTCTGCGGCCGGGGTAAGATCTGAACTTGTGTCCAGTCCTAATCTGCATTCTCGCTGCCAGGGTGCTTGGCTAAAGCGACATCTCACCTAAGTCTACCTTTTAGGGCTGTTAGAATCAATGTGGAGGGGGGAGAGATGCTCCTCCCGAACTCTGAAAATCCCTGCAAAGGTCTCAGAAAACTGTCTTCAAACACGGGAAAACAGAGGCAAATAAAATAAAATAATTGCAATCCAAACAGTTGATTGAAGGGCAGGAAGCTGGTGGCTGGCAAAACCACGGGGTTCTATGCTCGGTGATTGTGCCCAGCAGAAAAATGCCCAGGCTTTGGAGCCTGGGCCTTCAGGCCTGGCTGGCACCACGCTGGCCCACCCCTGTGCGGCCCCCCGCGTGTATTGCCCGTGTACACACCCGCACGTCTTCCCTTGCAGCCACCAACTCGCGTGTACACACACTGTCCTTATCTTTACAGCTCCTCCGCTAAAAACACCAACACCTGCTTTCCAAAACTATAATTACACACACAGAGATACACACACACACACACACACACACACGCGCCTGGGGAAAGAAATGTCAGCAGCTACCTTCGGATCTTGCCAGGAAACACCCAGGGTGTCCCACCACCGGGAAACGCCGCCCCCCACTAAGGAGTCCTCCCCCAATCTCCCCATTGAACTCCACGCCCGCCTACCTGCCTTAGGTTCCCCGTGCCCTAGAAGTCCCCTGCGAAGTTGCAAAGGGCTTTTTAGGGAGGAGAGCGGGAAACCCTAACCCTCCCAGCCAGATCTGTGCGCGGGGAGGTCTGGAGCAGAGGGCACGGCTGCTGGACATCACCCATCTGGACCTTTCCACCAGGAACCGCGCCAGCAGGACACTCCTTCCCTCCCTCCCCCTCCCTCTTCCTCCTTCTCTTCCACACACCTCGCACACTCAAAGCAGCTCAGATTTT